TTGTATTAAATTCAAGAAAATCGAATCGAATTGTTATCGTTGTAAAACAATGAGAATCTGGACAAAAAAAAAATAAATATTTTTTAACTAATTTGGGGTTTCTGTTTTTTTATTTTTTTTTTTTTTAATATTAACTGGACGGATACAAATTCCTTTCAGTTCTATTTAAAAAATTATCATTTTTATACAATTATTAAGTTATTGAATTTTATTATGAATAAAATACAATCGAAAAATTCTTTTGTATTTTTAGATATTTTCATATATTTTAAATTCTATAAATAGAATTATTTAATTTATATTTCTTTATCGTCAATATTATAATTTTATATTATTATATACTTAAAGTAGCTGACGATATTTTTAATAATAATTAGTAATTACTTCATTAATATATTGAAATTGAATACTATATCGATTAAAATTTTGCTATTTTTTTTGGAACTTTTCTCGCGGATGGTTTTTAGTTTTATAATATTAAATGAGAAATAATCATTTTCTATTTTAGAATTTTCTTCAAAGCTATTACATTCTGATGGAAATTTTATTAAATATATGTATATTATATTTAACATTTTTTTTTAATTTTTATTAAATAAACTTAGTTCTCTTAAGACGTTTATAATTAATATTGCTTTTTCTTATTGATTTAAATTTTTAATTATAATTCATTTCATAAATTTTATGACATCATAAGGTTAGCGCAATTAATTCGATCATAATATTATATAATAAATATTATATTAACAATATTTTTGTATATTATTTTAGGAATATGAAGAAAGAAAATAATAGATAAATACAAGCGATTTTAGGAAAAATTAAGTGCAGTTTCTGCGAAATCCTATTAAAATAAAATTAAAACTATTAAATTTATTTTTTTTGCAATTTTATTTTAAATTATACAATTAGTAAAGTTATTTTTATGTGGAAAGTTTATGAGCATAGTTGTGTATAAATAGGCGAAAAGGTTATTGTTAAAACACGGATATTGAAAATATTTTTAAAGATATGATTGAATTAATTTTTAAGTCTTTGTCGTTATTATATTCGATTCGATTTTCAGAATTACATATATTATTTTAAAACTAAATTACGTTTCAATCTTATATTTTGAAAACATTTAAAATTAAAATGTAAATTTTTTTTTTATCTTACAATTTCAATCCTCTCGTCATATCATCTATATAGCATTATACTAATTAAAATTAAAGCTTCTATTATCAAATCTTTATTTTTAAATTTTTCAAACTTTTCATTAAATATTAACTTTTTAAGTAGTATTGTGCTTTTTTTTTTAAATATGTTTTTCAAATAATGTGGAAACCGGAATTATTTTATAAAATTAAGTTGTAATTATGTTTTTCAATATTTTTGATTACATTATTTTAAGTTAAATTTATTGCAACTTATTCCTTATAATTCCTTTCGAAATGCTTTGAAATGTGCTACCTACGCATATTAACCATAATTTTATTAATACTAAAATAATATATGATATATTAATATTTCTTCGTATACTGAAGTTTTATATTTCAGATTATATTAGTTTAAATTGCACATAATCAAATAGAAGATAACATGTGTAAGTATTTTAGTAACTCTTTAATTTCTTTTATGCCATATTTAATAAGTAAAGGTCAGTTGGGATTTCAAAGCTTCATCTACTAGCTTTTAATTTTGGAAATAAAAATGAAAAAATTAATTGTATCGTAAATCTTTCTTCATCTTAAATAAATAAGATATTAAAGTCCTGAAACAAAAAAAAAATATATATTTTTTTTTTGTAATTTAATAATATTAGAATCCCAGCCTCTAATACTTTTACATTGTAAATTTTTTCTACATTAATTAACATAATTATAAAAATAAAGATATTTTATTAATTTTTCAAAAATAAATTAATTATATTGCTTTCATTTAAAATTTTATTATATTTTAAAAGCAATTTTTATATTGTTGTATATAATAATTTTATGATTTAAATTTTATAGCATTGTGTATGAATAATCATTGAATATCTTACTCTTTTTGGGTAGCTTATGGAAGCAATATTAATAGTTCTTAATGTAAAGTAAATATAAACTGAAAAAAATTTAATTACAAATTTAAATTGCTATAAAATGATTTCCATTGAATGATCTTTTTTTGTAAAAATTGGATCACATTTAATACATTCGCATGATTTAGATGTTTTTTGGTAAGCTGTTAATTTATTGTCACTATTATTGGTAGCACATAATAGATTATGTTTTTTATGCACAATAATAGTTTGACTATCACTGGCATTACTTGTAATCATACCATATGATGCGGATGTTGCTGATGTGGATGGCATTAAAGTTAGTGTTGATGCAGATAATTGCCTTTGACTTAATGATTTTGTAATAATTGATGTGCATGAACCAGAATCTAAATTTGTAACAATAGCTGCCGCAGTTTTCAATTCAATATTATTTAATTCTTCTTGTGAATGTTGTATTTTTTCAGGTGATAGTTTCGGTGACGGTTGTAATTCTTTTAATTCACTTGGAATTGTTTCAATAGATAAATCTTGGCATTCATCATCCTTCACTGATTCGTCTGTATTTTCATCTGCTTTAATTGATAAATTTGTGTTAGATACTGAAATTTTTTTGATATTTTCCAATTGCTCAGCGGCTTCAATAGTTTCACATAATTCTGTTGATTTACGTATTGTTTGTTGTAATAGAAAATTGTAATCTATTTCTGGCCATGCAACTAAAGAAACACTACGTCATAAACCTGGATCCATTTGTTTTATATGTTTATGTTTATGATGTTTGTGATTATTGTGTTTACATTTTTTCTTTGAACTTTCACCATCACTTGATTTTTCACTTTCCTTACTTGTTTGGGTATTGAATTCCATTTTATCACTGTCGTCATCAATGTCAGGTTGTGCAACAAAACTGGTAACCCTGACAAATTTCTGTTGAGTATGTTGTGATGGTTGGACTATAATTTTATTATTATGTCGTTCTGGAGATGATGACTGTGATGATGAATATTGTCTATTTGAACTTGAAGAAATTTTCTCATCTTGTATTTCTAAAACAATTTGATTTAAACTTGATGTTAACGATGTGGCTGAAGAAGACAATTGTGGCGGTGGTGTCACATGCGTAAGAGTATTAGATGGTTTCCTACCATATTTATCTTTCAAATAATTACATTCATCACATGAACATGAACAAAGTGTACAACAATCAGATGGATCGCTGCAACTACTCCCAATATACTCATTACAACCGCAATCCAATGTGTCAATGACGTTAATATTTTCTTCATCATCATGCTCCAACACAACACTATTAGAAGCAATTGTAGAAGATTGATGGGTTCGACAAGAACAAAAACTTTCTGTGCTGGTGGAGGAAATACAATGGAAATCTCGTAAACGACCACGATTTAGTATACCGATTGTGTTATTTTCCGATGGAAAAGGAGTTTCTAAATTTTTCTCAGTTTTGTTTTTTCGGCATTTTGAACAATGCTTGCAGTATATATTTAAGAATTCATCACCATTAGTTAGTGGACTCTCACGACTGCGACTATATGTTTGTTGATCCTCATGAAGTGTACTAGTACTGCTGCAACTTGTGCAGTTTCGACATGCATTGCAATAATATTCTTTGTGTATATCAACTTCAGTTTTTTCATATTTTAAAAACTTTATTTTTTGTTCTTTATCATCACTATCATGTCTCTTATCAATTTTAAGACTTTTGGAAAGTGCGTCACTAGCATGAATAACAGCTTTTAAGCGACGGTTTTTCGTCTTTTTTAATTGAAATTTCATTTGCAAATTATCACCGTCATCATCTGATTCTAATACATTGCGCTCATCATAGCTACTGCTTAAGGTTGAATCTCTGTTTGTACCCTTACAAAATATTTTTCTACTTTGCATACTGCTATCAAATCTAGAGCTATTATCTGCACAAGTATGAAAAGAATGATCTCTTGTAGTAGGCAAATATGATTGATTACTGCTTAAACTTGTGTTATCTGATTCAATATTTTGCCTTGAACTTCTCATCCCTTGAATTTTACTCCTGTTGAGATGTTCATCGTCTTCTGAGATTTGTTTTTGATAATCATCTGCAGAAACATATTCATTATCAGCGTCTGAAGCTCCACTTATTATTGCTTTATTATTATTGCTTAATGTACGAATTGATGTACTGGATGCACTGGAAGCGATCGAATCATTTGATATGATTCTCTCGTGAGAACACTTAATATTTTGCTCATTTGAATGAAATGTTTTATTTATATTATGACTAATATTGTTAGATGCTCTATAATTTTCGTGCTCTTGATGAGGGTGAATATATTTATCACAATTACATTGATTCTGGTGATGGCAAGATGATTGCGATTTTTTACCTTTATAATAACAACGGCATAAATGATAGGAAGACCTTGCTGAATTTTTAGATCTTATGGAATTTTTACAAGAGTGAATTAATTGTTGTTCTTGTGCATGAAATTGACTAGAATATGGACAAGATTTTTCAAAATTTATGCATTTTTTGCTTGGTGTTGTAAAACAACAACTTTTAATATTAGTGCGATGTGATGTTGTGATATTCTTTTTGCCGTGACAGTGAATATTATTACAACATGTTTTATGACAACATATATTATGTTTAGTATCTATTTCACGGAGTTTTTTATCGTGCGAATTTATAATCTCTTTATTATTACATTCAATTATTTGAATTTGATTTAATTGTTCAGTTAGCTTCTTACTTGATTTATCACTATAATTAGATAAATTTGTATTATTTGATATTGCAATAAAATGATTTGATCCTATGCTATTAATTGACATATTCTCTTCTTCACTGTTTTGACTGCTATTTACTGCATGCTGAAATCCTCGATTATCATGAAAAAATTGTTGCTGTGGATTTAATTTCTTCTTTTTAGATTTAAAACTTATATTATTATTATTAGCAAATTTTTTATTTAACATATAATGCGAATGTTTTGTATTAATACAAATTAAATGTTGATTTGGATCTCCGTCTTGATCGAATGCGTCATTTGGATTATTTAATGATGTTGTTGATGATATTAATTGTTTATTAGCCTGTTGTTGGTCCTCGGGGGCAAACTGCTAATCTCCACGATGTGAATTTCGTCTATCCGTATTTTTTCGATAAATCCATACTTGTAATAAAATTGCAATATCTAAACTGACCTAAAATTTAATTCAAATTATATTATAAAATATATACATACATATATATGTATATTTTAAAAAAGAACGAAATCGAAAAAATTTTTACTTACTTGTAACGAACCGCAAACCCAAAACTGAGTTGGAGCATTTCTTACAATAAAATAAACAGTCTTAAACATATCACCTAGCGTCCACATTAAAACCATGTGTATGCTCATACCATATGTTGATTTATTGCGAAAATTTCTCATAAATTGAGGAGCACCTTTATTTAATACGAAACAAAATTATTTTAATAACACATACATACATAATATATATAAAAATAAAATAACAAAAGAATTATAGATACAAAAAATAATTTTAATTTCAAATTGAATTGAAAATTATCTCAACATAAGAAAACGTATTTATTTTAATAAAGTATTTTGAAACTAACCAAGCATAGCCTCTGTAAAAACTGCTAAAAACCCTACTGTTTCCATAAACCAGTCATAAGGTAACATTAGATATGTTATTGCAGCGCCAACCGCCCAAAAAAACAACATAAAATCGAGATATGATTGAAAATCAGTCCATGACCAGAAATATTTTGGATCGAAATCTGTAATAAAAATAATTAATTAAAAAACTATAAATTAAACAAAAATATATAAAAATGGTTAATATTGAAAAAAAAAAACGCTTTACATATACATACATACATACATGACAAAAATAACAAAGATACAATACAATTTTATATTAAATAATAAATAAGACAATTAATATTCAATAAATTAATGTAAATATTTAAAAAAAAAAATTAATATACTTGTATGCTGTTTTAAATATAACAAAACTAAAAAATTATGTTTATGTAAAATTAATTTTTGTTTCTGTTCTTATGGCAAATTTTCAAGTATTTTTGTAAATTTTTTTATATTTTTTATTGATCACATTTATAACAATAATGACGTACCTTAAATTTTGTATAAAAAATAAATAATTTTTCTGTATTCAATGAAATTTTAATTGTGGTATGTGAAAATTAAAATAATATTTAATATTAATGTTACATGCTTAAAAATTTCTACTATATCTATTTATACAACAAAATAATTAATAAAAATTTTTCTTAAAAATTCAATAACTAAAACATTTTTTAAAACTTTAATATCAAAATTCTCAATCAAAAACATGGCAATATAGCAAAGATATGTTTAAAAAAAAAAGAGTTAAAAATGTAAGTAAGAAAATTAATAACTTAATTATACTTTATTAATGATATTTATGGCTATCAAAAGAAGTAATATTAAGTGTGCTCTCTCTGACTGATCTTATAAATTAATGCTTATACAATATATTTAAAATTATTTATAATATTGAATTTGTGAGTATAACACCAATTTTCTACACCATGTGTCGCTGTGTTTATTTCATGTATACCATGTTACACTAATGGATCACGAATTTCATTCGCGTCGTTAAATGAAACGCGTTTAAATATAAAAGAGTAATTTGTTAATTTTCTAAATAAATTTTATTTTAAAAAAGAACTGATTTTATACTCACATATTCTATATTAATATTTATAATACACCTACGCATATATATTTTGAAAAATAGTTATTATTAGAACTGTCATATGCTTTATGATTTTAAATAAAATTTTCAATTCCGAATTTTTAATTCGGAAATCAAATTAATATTAAACGAACTTAATATGAGGTAAGCTTGCAAAAGTGTTTCATTGTAAATGTTATTTATTTTAAAAAAAAGCTAGTATATAAGAACTGTTTGACCAGCTGTTGTTTAAATTATTATTTAAATGAAAATTTATTGTATTTTAAAATCAAAATTTAGCAACAATTGTCATGAATTCTAAAATGATTGAAATTTTTAGAATATTATGAGAAATTATTGAATTTTTCAAAATTTTTTTTTTTTTTTAAATATTGTAAAAATATGAAAGTGTGTTTATTGTTATGATATGTTTTAGTTTCAATTATTTTGTATAAAATTTAAATAAGAAAATATGTTTCGCATATAAAGCATTCGTTCCGTATATTACTGTGTATTCGTATTTTTTCGTATTCAAGCGCGCAGACATACGAATTCAGACACGACAACGAGTTATTGCGAATTATAGAGTAATACTTGTATATACAAAGGATTTATGAAGTTTAAATGTCCAAATTTACTAGTTATAAAGATTTTATATTTATAAGTTACATTTTTTTTTATATTTACGTACTTATGCATATCAAATACAAACTAATAAAGAAAAGTATTAAATAAGAAACTATTTAAATTTCTCTAACAAGGGGACATGAGTATATATTTGATCTTTAGTATCGATAATATTAAGTACATAATACGTATGTATTTGATATTATTTTCGAAAAAAAATAAATTTAAATGCTTAGTTTACTTGCAAACCACAATTTAAATAATTAAAATTTCTCTTACTACTTAAATATCGCCTATCTTGCCGATATCTTCCATCTAAATATTCTTTAAAATACTTTATAGATAAAATTTCAATTGTGTCATAAGTAAGCAAGAAATTGAATACTTTCTATAAATACTTATAAAATAAATCGAGTGCATAGTACATGCTATATTTTCCATATTATTATATGGTATTTGTATAGACTTATTAGAGAAACAAATCAACCCTAACATAAATGAATGAAAAATAATTAGAAGAAAAACAACAAAAATAGAAAAGATTTACATAAATAATCTCGGATTAAATTGTAAGATAATGAACTGTAATAGAGAAAAAAGATACATATGTATGTACATATATATTCCTTCATATATTTATATGTATATATAATACACATTTATAGGTTTATTATAAAGTTAAGAACAAAAATAGAATTTACAAAAAAAATGAAATAAACGGTGACTTAATTTCATGGTTGCATTTTATTTGCGTTCTTTTTTTCTTTATAAATTTTATTTATTTGCAAAAGCTTGATTTTATTTAATTTTCTGAAATAATTAAAATTATTATTAGTTGTCGCGCTGCGACAGTGTTTGATATTTATTCGAGAGCGTCAATTATGCGACGACTATGACATTTACATTTATATTATATTAATCGTATTTGTTTTTTTAGTTCAGAGGTTAAATCTAATAAGATTCACAGTTGTCAGAGCACTCACACATCAGGTGAAAAAATTTTTTAATTTGAAAAGCTCTAACTTTAAAAATGAAAACCATATAAAGCTTATTCTGTTATTTCAGTATTTTTCAAATTAAAATGCCAAAATGAGTTCTGTGAAATCTGAATTTTTTTTCAAGCACATAGAGCGCTCTAATCATAGAGAATCGTAATTTTTAGCTCTGAACGCTGTGAAATAAAAAAAAAACAAACACGGATATATTTTTTGACAGTACCTGTTTTTATGTTAAAAAAAACGCCTATTTTTGCAATCAAATGACATAAAATTACATTCAATTGAAAATTTGTATGGAAATTCTCCAAGTTGATGTTGTCAAATGCAACTTTATTAGAAATATTAAAGATGAAAAATTTTACTAAATAAACTAGCTTAATTACGATTTTGAATAAACCAAATAATCATTATATCGTATTGCTGTTTGTAATCAAGAAAATTTAAAATTTCCTTCTACAGACATATTTAATTTAAATTTCAGTAAATAACACAAATGCACAAAAATAAAATGTTGCATTCTCGTTACAAAACATTTTTGTAAAGGAATTAAATTTCTTTTACCGAAAATGAAATTTAAATATAAAATTATTTATCTCATTTTTCATTTGAACAAAAAAAAAGTTGTTATATATATATAAAGTTTAGCATGAGCATATATAGAGCTTTAATAAATAAATTTTAGTATTGTTTACAATATGCGCGTTCATATAATATAATTTAATTTAAATTCTAAGCTACATATAAGTACATAAAATATGTATAATATTCTTTTACAATAACAAAAGCGAATAACTTTAAAGCCATATTAAGACATCGTATTATTATTAAAGTGGAAACACAAAATAGAAAATTTTTTCTAACGCTTTTCAACTATATGTATTTTAATTCGGTGATATTTTAATGTTATTAATTGAGTATCATATATACATATGTATATAATCTAAATAGATGTGAGTATATTATAAGTTAACATGCACTAAATTGAGATAAGTGTATAAAATTCACAATTATTATTAATTGTAAAGAATAAAATTGAATTATCTAACACAATAAATTTATTTTGATATTAGTACATTATATTACAAACTTGAGCACATAAGAACTTTAAAATTTGAAATTAAAATGTAATGACTAAAATTTTATAATCAAATATTTAAGTAAATCATATATATATAGATAAATTAATATGGAAAAATTTATTTAAAAAAAATATTTGAGAATCAAAAATTTTTATTATGTAATGATATTAAAAACTTTATGATTACCCTAGTCTTCATTAATCTGGGAAAAAACTGCTCTTAATTTAAGGTAGAGTAAGTGAAATTTCAATATTGAAAACTGCTGATTACATTTTTGTAGTACTATTGTAGAAATTCTGTAATTGTCAAACTTGTTTTCACTACATTATTTTGGAATCGATGGAACTTTGAAATTTACCGGTTTTAAAACTTTTCACTACATTATTTTTTTTATTAAAAATATTGCTATATTATTAAAACGCAATATAACAGATTATATTGCATCTAAATAATAAAATGTAAAAACGTAAATGTCAAAATTCTACACAAGAGTACGTATATAAAAATTTTTAGCTGCGCTAACTACAACAATGTGGTATTACGATGACATTACTCAATATAAATAAACTACTGTCTAACTACTTTTGCAGTACGTTACCGAAAACTGTAAATTGCAGAAATACCGTATTTATGCTTTAATGAAGACAGCTTTTATCTCAAAAAATATTATTTCATTGAGAAGAACAAACGGCGAAATATGAAAAGAATTCAAAAAAACCTTTCTCTACATTATACATAAATAGAATTCTAATAAAATTTTAAATGATTTAACTTAGACTTATTTAAATTAAATTTAAGAAACATAAGTACGTAAATATATTTTATAATCTTTTAGCTAGATATAAAATTTTAGTTCACTTATTGCTTAGAAAATTCTTAATTAAAAATAATTACACATACAATTTAAATATACAATACATACATACATATAAAATATTTCTCCAATTTAAAATGCATATGATGTGCTAAATTAAATAATTTATATAATTTTTCCAATTATATTTCATTAAGTATATGTGTGATTATTTAATTTAATTATGATTATTAGTTTATAATTTAGCATATCTTATTACTTATATAGGTTATCACTACTATGATAATTAATAATTATTACAAAAAAATTTAGAAAAAGGACATTAAAAATACAAAAACATGATAATTTTTAATATTGCTAATTAAATTTTATTAATATAATTTAAATATTGAAAAAATATAAAGAACAATATTATAAAAAAAAAACAAAACAAAAAATAACACTAAAAACAGTCGGCGGGCGGTAACGAACAAACAAACGAACGAACAAACAAACGAACAAATAAATAAAATAACTGAAATCTAACATAAATGTATAGATTATAATTCTGTGGTAATAACGAAAAACAATTTAAATTATAAGTAATTTACAGTTGCTTTTTGAATATATTTGGAAAACTATTTATAACTGATTTATAACATCCTATATTGTATAAAATGGTTTTCTGAAATGCAGAGAAAAATAAATCGTGTATTTAAAAATTTTTGATGCTTTTTTTGATAAAATTTTGACAATCAATATTTACCAATATGTATTAGTAAATATATATAAATTGACATAAGGTTGGCTTAGAAAATTTGTGATAATAAAAAACGTTTTAAAAACTAAGTATGTATGTAGCTAGAAGTTACAACGACAAAAACTCAAAATTGTCAAACAAAAGAAAGTGATAATTCATTGCATTTAGTCAATAAAAGTATCATATAGTATTAAGTATTGCTTTTAAATAAACCTTTTGTATGCGATTTCTGAACTTTCGCTTTTTGACATTGTGGAATAATATACCACATTTATTTTTCTTGGAAATGTTCTTTTAAAAAAAATTTTCAGAACAGTTTCTCAATTTTTTTTTTGTTATTTGGGTAATTTAATCAAATTTTTTTGGATTATAAATTCAAATATGCGGTAATATCTTAATTATATACTTCAGTTGACTTATATACTTATATTGTTTTTCCTTATTGCCACAGAATATTATTAGAGTATGCATCATTTACACGAAAAATAATATTTCAAACAGAATGAAAACATAAAAAGTACAAAAAAAAAACAAATAAATTCCAATTTAAATAATGAGTTTAATTTTTCATGGTTTTTGTTTTTAGCTCAATAGTTTAAATATTATGTATGTTTAGTTTTTTTTGTTGTTGTTGTTTATAATTATACTAAAAACATAATAATTATAAATTTGTATGATTATTATATTAAAAGAGTAAAGAGTATAAGTATATAATATGACAGAAATTCTCTAAATATATATTTTATTTATGTATTGTGTGTGTATATCGTGCAAGCGATGACATACCACTCAAATAATGCCTTGAACGAACTCTTTTTAATGCACCCGGTGATGATGATAATCCAGCTCCTTCAGAATCTTCAATTATTTGTTGTACTCTAGGCTCAGTGTTATCTTCACCTTTAATATTTTATTGATTGATTTTTTTTTGTTTTTGTGTTTAAGTTTTTTTTTTTCGAATTTTTTGAGTTGTAATTTTTTTTTCTTTCGAATGTTTATAAATATACAAGTATTATACATTATATAATAAATATTTATATACTTATTTATTTATAATAAAATTAATTTCATGTATTTTATATTTATTTTATATAAATTTGTAATTATTTTAATTCTATTTGTTTAGATTTTGAATTAAAAATTTTTATTTTGCATTTTTTTCTTTTTATGTCTAATTAATGTGTTTATAATTATATTTATATAATTTTTATTATATAATAGCAAATTAAATTTTATACAAAAATTATTTAAACCAATTTTAAAATATTTATTTTTTTTAAGAAAATTATGTATTTAAAAATTGAATTTGTTTTTAAATTTTAATACGAATTTATTGTAGGAATATTTCATTTTCATTTACATTTTGGATAATATATTTGATGGCCTAGTAGTAGACGTTACCGTGTGGCGGTTATACTAGTAAGAAAGGCGTTTTTAATAGTGCTGCTACTACTAGATACAATATATTTTTAATTTTTAATTAAGTGCCCCAATTATATTACGTTAATAAAATTTTGTTATTTTTTTTGTTACAGCAATATTTTTAAAAAATTATAAATTCTATTGCACTTTTAATATCCAATACAAAAGCATAAAAATTACCGAACAAATTCCATGTAAAAATAAATGATTAATTAGGTTACGTTGATCTGTAAAAAAAAAGCTCTTCACCCCATTTCAATAATCTTAAATTAATGAGTACAGTTGAAACAAATTAAAAAAAAAGTAAAGTACTTATTTCAGAAATATTTATTATAAAAAGTTACGATATTTAAGTAGAACTTATTTAAATAAATATACGATTTTATGAAATATCGTAATTGTGGTAAAATATCGTAAATATCGTATACGATTCTATAAAATATCGTAATTTTGTACGATATTTTATAAATAACATGCTGAATGTGGTTCTGATTTTCCATATTATTTATATTAATAATTAATACAAAAAAAATTAAATAATAAAGGCAATTAATAAAGTTGTAAGAAACTTTTAACATTGCAATAATCAACAAAATTACGAACGCTAGGCAGCATAAATGCTATATAGTTGGTCTTTTTAAAAATTGTATGTGATTTTCCGAATTTTCTAATAAAATATATTATATTAACAAAAAAAAAAACAGACATCAAATTAAAAATTTTGGAATCAACCGGTTTAAAAACTTTTTACAAAAATTACGTAATTAAAATATTGCATTAAAAATATTCGAACACACGTACAGTTTACTATTAAAATTTTAATTTTACTTTAAAATTGGTTTAAAATATTTTTAAATTACATTATTTATTAAAATATTTTTATTTTATAATAATAATTATTTAAAATTTTATAATATATTAAAAAAAAAATAAATTAATTTACCTGAAAATGCAACATCCTTATGATGAGCTATTACAGTACTATTTCTTTTAACTTTAACACATAAATGTATCATTAGAAACATTGTAATATTCATTACAACACTTTGAACTAATAAAGGAAGCTCAAAACGTTTTGCAAACCTAAAAATACAAAAAAAAAATGCGTTCTTTAATTATTGAAAATTCACAAAAATTAAATTTAAAATAAATAAAATATAATTTAAAAATTTTTATTATATTTCTTTATATACCTAATTTATTTTGATATTAAATTTATTTTTACTAATGATGGGCGTCAAAAGGACGGCGAGTAATTTTTAAGTTATAAAAAATTAATATCAAATTTTAGTTAATAAATACAACACAGAACAGAAGCGTTATATTTTGTAGAACCTTTTCTAAGCCTATTGCATTCGCAAATCATTACCGAAAAGCATAAAATATCATGAATTTTGTTACTATACCCTCGTTTAAATTGCACATAAAATTTCTTTTTTCAATTCTGTGTTACGTCCTTCATAGAATTTAAAATTTTTATGTTTAAAAAAAAAGTATATAGTTCAAGATATTGATCCAATTTTGTAATAGTGTGAATTTTTTTTAAAGAAATAGAAAATATTTTAGTTTAAAATTTAGGACATAAAATCATTAAACTAACTTTTTAAATATCAATCAAATATGTCTATAATATGTATGTACTTTATAAAATGTATTAAATGGAAATTTAAGTATATTCTTACACAGTGTAGTTATGTGTAAGGACATTTGATACTTTTAAGGCGAATGTTAAAACATAGAGTGAAAATTTCAAAAAGGTTTATATTTTGTGTTCAAACAAACTTGAATTTGCAAAAAAAATTAAAAACATTTTTAATGTTTTCATAGCTACTACTGTACATAGGTAGTACTGCTTCAAATATTCCTACACCTCATAATAAAAGACAACTCATTAATTTCAAAAATATTAATTGGATTTTCTAAGAAAAATTTTTAAACATAGCAAAAATGTGAATTACTTTTCATATCTCCGGCTATATTTTTTCTCCAAATACCATTTAATTTCTGGATTGTAAAAAATAATTTATGAAAATTTAAAATACGAGTATTATAGGAGAATATAATACTTAAATTACCAATATGATTATTTCTTAAAAATGGTCAAAAACGTAAAATCGAGCCGGTTAGTAAAAATCCGGTTCCAGAGACCTACAACTTTCTTTAAAATCGGTTAAGCCGAACTGAGATTCTAAACTGAACACAGACAAACATTTCTATAAAACTAGATTATTTAAGCTTTCCGATATAGCATGAAGAAACGCATTTCCGTGGAAAACGTAGTCTTGTAAAATAGGGTAAGTACCATCAGATAATCACTCTTATTGCATGCAATGCGGTTAGTAAGACTAAATTTAAAATAAAATTAGTTTTGAAGAGTGCGTGTTCAATTTTTTTTTTGTATTTTCCGTGGTATTTAATATCAAAAAAAAAATATGAATAAAGTAAATAAATTTGAGTTTATTTTTTTCCTAAAAATCAAAAATCTATCTGCATTCATAACCCTTATATTTTTTACATATAATTGTCCAAATATCTTTTGCACTTCATATTATTAAAGTTTCAAATTTCCAACTTATAATTTCAACAAAATAAATGATTCACTTGAATTAAATTAATGTATTTTTGCAAACCATAAAAAAAATATTATTTTTTTTTTATTGATTTTCCCAATATGTATTCATTTATAAATTTTTTAAAAACATAATATAAATAAAAAAATAATTTCTAGAAATTACAAGCGATGTATATGGTGAGTAAGAAATTAAAGTACGTACACATAAATTAATTTATATATTGAATAAAATGGTTTTACAAAACCGTATGTTAAGCATATTTTTAACAATTTGAAACCGATAAATTTATTTAAAATAAATGCAAGAGCAAGAATAGTGTTAAAAATATGAATTTCTTTACAGCACAATTTTAAAAAAAGGAATTCTGTAAAATATTACAGAATTGAATGAATATTTCTGAAATTCTTAATATTTCTCAATAAAATTTGGAATTTTTCTTTCAGTGAATATCAATAGACACATAATGAACCGAAACAATGAAATAGAATTAAAACATAATGGGCAAAACGTAGGAATGCGTAATTTTTCAGGAAACGATAAGGAATGTGCGTTTTTTATTTTCTTTAACACTCTTCTAATTTTAGTTTCGGATTTTAATCTAACAAATATTTATAACAGCTTTGAATCAGTTGGAGTTTCGAACGTAGTACTTATGTAAATTCTAGAAAACGAAATTTTTGGGTTAGAAAACTGAAAATTTTTGAAATAATGTTGATTCATTCTAAGAAATCATCTCTCGAAAGCTTTAACACTAGTTTTGGACTACCCTTTAGATTTAGATTTAAAAATCAGAATGACATATACATATATGTAAGTAAATTAATAGTCGGTTTGATTTCGAGTTCAGCGACTTTATAATAATAACAAAAATGTATAATTACTCATTTAATAAGGAGCGGACTATAGGTCAGTACTTATAGGTTCTGATAAAAACAACATTTAGAAATTAATTAACAATTTTTATAAATAAAAAAAAGCAAACCAAATTCTTTATTTTTTTGTTATCATTAATTTCTAAACTACAGACAAACTTGAATTTTTGATCGAAAAATAGCCTAGAAATAAATAATTTTTAAAATTTTTAATAAATTACGAGTTTTGATAATTTAAAATATTTTTTTTACCGTATTTAATAAAGAAACAAGAATAATAATAATTTTTGTAAAATTTTAGCATATCTTGACCACATTTTGCTGGTGGTCACGTTTTTTTTATATAAAAAGCGTATTTTTTTTAGTTCTGTTTTTATTGCTTTTATTTTGATAACAATTTAATCAATGAAAATTTTTTTATATAAAAACAAAACTTGTATTAAACGGTATTTTTAATTTGATTATGTAAATTTTTTTATTCAAATTTATTGATTTTCAAAATATATATAAATGGTTATATGTGTAGAAAATAATTTTGAAAAAATTCCGGAAATAAAGCTAAAATAAAATTGAATAAATCAAAGTACAATTTTTCCACAATGTAAAAAAAAGCAGCAGAATATTTAAAATTTGTATTTATTCTCTTTTCATTACGAGTGTTTTACTTATCAAATGTATGTATGTGTGTATAGAAAAAGAGGTTTCACCTTGAAATTTAAAATCAAAATGTTACTAAAAAATCTTATTTATACATATTCATATTACATACAGGGTGACCAAGACTCGACGGTAATCTTGAAGCAAGCTGATAGATTGCGTTTATCTTTAGAAGAAAAAAATAAATTTTTTGTGCTCTACTTCTCAAATTATTAGCCCTCAAATTTGAAATCTCGAAGAACCGTCTAATTTTGATTGATTAATTTAGAAAATATCATGAGAAAAACGAGCCTACAAAGTTTGTTTAGCCTGTTATATTTCCAGAATTATCAATTAAAATGCACAAACTATAAGGGTTTCAGAAATTTCATATTGGAGGCTTTATAATTCAAGAAGGAGGACCCAAAAAGTAAAATGTCTCGACTTAAATGTTTTTTGTTTATCTGAAGACATTTTATTATAATGATTCAGTAATATAATCAAGTCTCTTTCGGACACTCTGTATATAGGCAATTCATTTAGGCAATATTACAATAATAAAATAAATTATGTATGTAAGTTTTACTTTTATGGTTTTGGGTTCTAATTGAAAAAAAAGACTAGATTTAAGAAAGAATTTGGGCAAAATTTAAAAATAAACTATTGGTAAATTCAATTTTTGTAGTTTGGTAAAGAAAATTTTTTGAGTACGAGGTAAGTAGTAAATAATCTTGACTTTGTAATATATTTTAATATTTTTTGAAAGAAGTAACTCTTACTCAAAGCACACCTGCAATTTTTCTTGTACTATGAAATTAAAGGGAACGTCAAGTTAAATTAGGGTTTGCTCTTATCTTATTTATTAGATAAATAATGTTAAATTATTTCATTATCACAAAAATGCTATCATAAAAAAATAAAATTTATAACAAATTACTCATATTTGTTTTTATTTTTTTTTTTAAGGGAACTAATGTTATCTTTACAACTAGTATGTGTAATAATTATTTATCATATTTGGTGATTTGTTGGAATTTTTACAAAAATTCAGAATAATTTTCTAAGAAATTGAAGGTAAATCATATAGCGAGTCATACCTAAAGATATTTAGATAACAAAATGAAAATATAAGTATACATGATGATAACAAAGATTTTAAGTAATCAGAAAATATAATAAAATTTTGAAATGAGATTTAAAAGATAAGAAATCTTTTATAAATCTTAAATTTATAATATTTAAATTTACGTTTCTTCAATAAATAACAAGTTGCTTGTAATTGTATGTAGATTATATAAATTAAATGAAATAAATTAACAATATAAGTTTAAAATAGCGTGGACTTAATGTTGCACCACACTTTATCTATTTAATTAATTTAAATCCGTATTTAAATATTAAAATAAATGATATTACCTAATATTTAAAAAAAATTATTCAAAAGTTCCACAGTATTTCATGAAATTTTCAGAAAATAAAATTTAAACCCTTCAAATTATAACACTATTTTCATTTTTTCTTCTTAAATCCTTATGGAGCTTGCAAGAATCTCCGGATTTCTATATTTGTTCCAGAATTGAGGACTTTTTCTGTATTTTCAGAATTTCTTCTGTTCCGCAATTTTTTTCTACAGGTAATATTTTGTATTCTGTAGTATAGCTATTTTAATTTTGTAAATCTTACAATAATAATTAATCCATAATGAATCAGTAGTATTTTTCAAAAATTTTTTTAATTAGATTCCTTCATTATGTATTATTTGAAATAAAATCGAAATTTGAAAAATTCCAAAGAGAAAAATAATTACTTCTCAAATCAAATTTTTAACAAACTAGATTTGATTTTTTAAAATTTGAGAATTGTCAAATATTTTTCAATAAATTTCAAAACTATTTTTTACGTACAAAAAATTATAATATTCTGCTACAAAAAAAAATGGATCTAGTATTCAAAAAATTTTTTTTCGAAACTTTTCCTGGTAAAAAAAATTGATAGTTTTTAATTTTTCCCATTTGTGTAAAAAATGGTACCCTATATGGTTTGGGATTTTTAAAGGCATTTTTCTTAGGCTGGGCGCATTTTAAAAATTTAAAAAAATTATTTTCGGAAAATAGAGATCATTTGCCATCTGAAATTATTAAAATAAACCACTAAGAGTGAATTTTTAAAATTTTGCCAAACAAATTTTGACATTTCAAAAAATTTATTAAAAAAAATAATTTACTATGTTACGAAGTTTGGATTTTTCTTTATTCAGATCTGAAAATTAAATGGATTGACGATAAAATTATCAAATTTGGGGAGCGAACATTTCGGATAATGTACGAATAACAATGAATTCAATGATAATGGCAAAAAGTAACAAGAATTTTTTGGTTATGTTTGATATTGAATGAATATCAAGTAACGTTCAAGAATTACGGAATTTTTATTTTAAGAAGGACGGACTTTTAATATGCAATAAAAATCGGATTTAGAAAATTGTACAAATTACTATAATATGTAATATGCAGCATTCTGATGATTTCGGTGTAAGCCAATGTTGCTTTTTATTAAATTTAAATGAGAAACTTAATCGTACATTTTAGGCAAAAAATTTTAAGTCAATTGAATTTTAAAAAAATTATCTTAATTTTTGAATAATTTCAATATCATTGAATTAAAGTGTCTAAATTAATTAGAAATCCACTTGCTGTTTCACAAAAAAAAAAAGGAAAAATCTTTAATTTAAAACCTAAACCTTGAAAATATATGGACAATGTCAAATTTCTTTCATTTTCCCAACTTTTAAAGTATTTTTAAAAAATTATTTTCAATTAATTATTGTAAAAGTAGGGAATTTATTGTTAAGAGCTAAGTATTATTATTCATTAAATTTTTCGATAACCCTGTTCAAATCAAATATCCTAATAAATTTTATAAGCATTGTCGTCTAATTGTCTTATAGTTTAATTTCATAGCAATAAAATATAAATATGTTGAATAATAAAATTAAGTAAGTAAATGAAATTAAAAACAAGTTTCCTTGAAATTTTCCAAAAATCAATTTAAATATTAATCCATATCTGAATCCATTTAAACCATATTTGTAAATACGAAAGTTTTTTTTGTTGTCTATAAAATTAAAATTTAATTTACTGAATTTTTTAAAATAATTTACTTAAGTACTACAATAATGTAATTGTAAATATTTTTATTGATTTTTCAATTCAATTAAAGTTTAACCGGAATTAAATATGAGTATATATGTAAGTATATATGAAAAGCTTAGTTCCTAAACGACACTATAAAAGATGATCACGATGGAAACAACTGATAAGACAGAAATATATTGATTTTGTAGTTATTTTTCAATTTAAATCAGAAAACCAATTTTTGTAAACCATGTGTAGTAAAACTATAATTTAAAAATATTATCAAGTAAGGGCATTCCAGTCGTACAAGTCATTATCAATTTTCTTTAAATATTTATTTTTTTTTTATGCACTTAACTGCATTCATTGCCAGTGCAATATTTCAAAACCTTGAATTTTATATTGAATGCATTGCTACTTTTATTTTAATTTTTTTTTTTTTAATAAAATAAAAGAAAAATTTCTTTTAAATAATTTTAAATAAAATTTTTTATTTTTTATTTAGGTACTTATTTAAGTATACGTCTTGTGTATAATTTGTATTGTAACTACAATAGAAATCTGCTCTACTGAACACCAAAATTTTATGAACTTTCGAGCAGAGTAAACACACAAATATGTTAGCATTGACTGCCTTACTTATACTGTGCAACAATCTTAAGAGAAGAGCCCAACATTAAGTGAACAAATTTTACAAAACTGTTTTTTTTTTTATTTCTCTCAATGTAACGAAGAGTTTTTATATTGAATTAGAGGAAAGAGCAATACAGTCGAAAATAATTATTTGCAATACTCATATAAGCAAAATTCTTTTACTTATAAGCAATGCCTTTTTTGCCCACATGTAATTTTTTTAATCAAATAAGAAGTGCATAACTGCAAAATATGGATACATACCCGAAAGGATGTGTATAATTTATTATCGTGTTCAGCTTTATTTTGAGTCAATTTTTTTTCAAATGCCGAAAACAAAATATTAAAAGAAAACATTTAAAAAAATCTTTGGAACCAAGTGTAAGTTAGTGTTACAACAATATCTAAAGAAATTGGTATTACAAAATCAACTTTGTGTGCAGATACAATGGGCTACAGATAACGATATCTCAATAATCAACCAAAGTCACTCTTAGAAACATAAGAGAACTTTAAAAACTACTTTTCAGCTCATGATTTATTTGGAATTTAATATAGTGTTCAACTTATTTAATAGAATGAGAATATGTCGTTGTTTTTATTGTGTACACTAAAACTAGATTTTTACTGTATTTAAATAGAAATTTTAATTATAATTGAAAATTACCAATAAGAATACTATCATTCTTAAATTTCTTTTTTCTTAATAAGTACCTTATTTACTTATTTATTAGCTTAAGGAATTGAAAATTATTTAATCATTTGCTTTCTTTTAATAAATTTTAAAATGCTTATAATTGTAAGAATGAGCTTTATTTTTTTTATATTCCCACAATGCATATACTTATATACACATAGAAGCATATAGAGCATCTTGAAATAAAAATACCGAAAAATTATTTTAAATTGCTATCATAAGTACTTTTAAAAATAGAAATTGTACGAGTAATAAGAAAATAAATAAAATTTCTGTTTTGTAAATTAATAAGTAAGCAGTAGCGAGTGGCATATATTTTATTATCAAAGAAAAACCAAGTTAGTCACCAGCTTTTTAATTCAATTTATTTTTGGAATAAATAAAAATTTCTTTATTAAATAATTGCATATATGTACATATGTATAAAGAAAATCATGTCAAAAATTTTAAATAATTATTATTTAAAAAAAAAAATACATACGATTTTTTTACAATCTGAATAATTATTGAGGTCAATTAGTTGTGAGAGAACAACAACAACAACAACAAAAAAAATCTAAAATCTACGTAGGCATTTTTTTATGAACTTAAGTATCAACGACCGTGAATTTAATACGCTATCGTGCATGTACACATCACTCACATCACAGCAAAAAAAAAAAACAGAACAGAACACAAAAAAAAATACAATAACAAAGGAAAGGCAGTAACAAAAAGCGAAAAAGCTAAAAACTTTTTTTTTAATAAATTTCCTGATTAAAAACATTAAGAATTTTATATATACGTATATATGTATATAGGTGCCCCTAATCTGGTTCTATAGATACATGACTATAATATGTATATAAATACATAAATTGTATATATATGAATACAATGTTAGTAAGTAGTTATAAAATTATAAATTAGAACTAAAATAAAATTTAATATTAAAATTATGTAGGATATAAAAAGAAATAGAAATAAAGTATACTTATTGGTATAGGTAGGATAGGTACCTACTTAAATACTTACCAAAAGAATATCCTTAATGAATTTGCACTTAACAATGCTAAACATACATATAATGAGAAACCTTCTGCATCTTGAGTTTTTTTAATTTCTCTATATTGTGGAACATATGGTATAACACCGCCAACAACCATTGCTGATGCTGCCGCCCATCCCACCAAATGACGGACTGTTAATCCAAGTTCATCATTTATTATCCAATCCATTATTTTTGCTTTAATAATTTATTTCTTCTTCTCTTAATTCTTAATTCTTCTAATTTTATATTCTTTTTTTTAATATTTCACTTTTTATACTTAAATTTAATTTACTTTTCTTACAAAGATATGAAATTTTTAACTTATATTTTTTATTTTATATTTTTTGTTGTTTTTTTTTTTTAACTTTTCTCGAATAAGTAGTAAATAAGTAGTTTTAGTCATAAATATTTTAATTTTTATTTCTTCTTATTTTTTGTATGGCTTCCTTAATAATATGCGAACATTTTTTTAATCAGATTTTTTACACCGTTAATATAATTCTGATTTTTATATCTATATGTATGTATATAATGTAGATATAGGTGTATAGTTACATTTTCTTTTAAGTTAACTTTCAATAAAAGTAGAAAAAAAAAATTGCAGTTGTTTGCTGCTATTGTATTTGTTGTTTAAATGTGGGTGGGTTGTAGATGATGAATGTTATTAACAAAACAAAAAAAAATTTAATTTTAATTTTACTAATAAAGTTAAATTTTTATATAACTGCTGTACATATAGAAAATATTTTGTATTATTGTATGAATAAACATTTCTGGTGTAATCATTATTCTTATACTGTTGTAAATTTATGTATAGTTCAATTGAAGTATTGTTGAAAAATTTTCCGGCTTCCGTTCAATGAATTCAATTGATTTCTTCCCTTAAACTTGATGTATATACAATAATATTATTATTTTTTCTTCATTATTAATCCATAATTTTTTTGATTTATGTACGTTTCCAAAATAATATGGAAAATCCGAAATAATATGGTGTAGAAACTAAAAATGAATAAAAATGGTTTTAAAGATTTTTTTTTTTCTATTTGGAAAATCACTTGAAATTGAAGTTGGTAGGTACAAGAAGTTTTTTTTTTTATTTACATACCTTTAATAGTAGGCTAAGTACATAATGATTTAATTTTCATATTCTTGTATATTTTATGTATGTATGTTTGCATACCTACATATAAAAAAATATTTTGTAGATAAAAGATTTAAATATGTAGGTAGAATTGAATTTAACTAGTTTTTCTTTTTTTTTAATATTTAGCTGAATTGCTTAATTTTATGCTTATTTATTTATTCTTTATTGTTTATTTTTGCTGTTTTTTTTTTTTGTAATAAAATAAGACTTAGCAATTAATGGATGACATTTGTTGTAAATTTGTGCAATATTTTTTTGTTTTTCTTTTTAATCTTTTTAAATTGACATTCTTCTTTTAGCATGTTGTTTCAAAATTCTTTTATTATTGATAGAAATTTTTTTGACTTAATTTCAAGGTAGAATGGGGTAGGTAATAAATTTATGCTTCTGATATTTTTCTTTCTGTGTTCGATTCGTTTTTCCCTTTTCTTTTTGTACAAAAAAGAAGCAAAAAGGGGACCCAATTCTAATTCTAAGTTTCTGCCTCCAACATTTAGGTAGGTTATGGAAATTTAGGTTTTAAGTGAAGAGATCCAACATAATCCAAGTTTTTCTTTTTATAAAATATGTAAGTAGGTAAATTGGTTTTTAGGTATTCTTCTGCATTAATAAATGTATGTATGTATGTATGTATATTTTAGAATTATAACTAAAATTTGTTTGTAGCACACCAAATACCTTACTTTAAAGCTTATTATATTTTATTTTTTTATTATCATAATTCTTTCCTCTTAAAATTACACTTAATTTCTTTTTAAACACAAATTCTAATTTTCTTTAGCTTTTTCCAAAATTTACTTGAAATATTTTTTTTTTTGTCACTGTAAAATATTTTATTAAGAGGGTATCTACATTAAATTTTTCATTTTTTCATCATACTTTTTTTTGTTAATTCCCTTTGTATAAGATAAGATTTTTATGGTAAGATAGGGAAATGAAAATGCAGAAAAGAAAAAACTTAATTATATTTTTTTTACAACTTAATTATAACTATATTTTATTTTCACTAAAATCTTAACTAATTGCAAATATTTGTTTATATTTTTTTATATTTAATAATTTAAACATTTCAATTTATTTTTTAATTTTTTTTAATTTTTTTTTTTCTCTTATATAAACTACTAACTTCGAGTTGATAAATCCATAATCTGATAATAAAAATTATATACTGAAAAAAAAATATATATTATAAAGTTATATATATATATATACATTTTTTTATGGTGATAAGCCAAGGTATGAAAAAAAATTCTTGTTATGTTCTTTTCTTTACACCTATTTTCAATATGTCAATTGAAATGGATTGTCATTTAATTCCTATTTCCTACTTCAGTATATCAATGCAATGATTTTCTGAACGCACACTAAAGAAATTTAAATGGAAATCTAAATGAATGCAGTAAGCAATTGTCAAAAATAATTAATGTTGTGATTCTATTTATGTGTAAAAACAGAAGTAAATTGGTAAAAGGCAACGATGGAAAATTTCTTTTGTTAATGCAGAATAAAAATGGAACGGCAAAATCAATTGTTCGATATTTTACATGTAATATCAGACGCACATGCAAGCAAATGGTGTCAAAAAAAAAAAACACCAGCGATAAAATAGAGTTTTTAGGCTACTTTATTTCCCTTAGTTAATTTCGCACTTTAATTTCAATTTATTTGGACTAGTCTGATTTATAAAATCTTTATTCCGTGTAAATTTTAACATTTAGCCGCTGAAAATTGCTCGCGTTTCGTTCTGTTTTTATCTTAAATTTATACCACAGCAATTTCTTTGTGGCAACCACAACAGGTTTGATTTTATATTTTTCAAGGGTTTTGGTGTTTGAAACTAAAAAGAATATATTTTAATATTTTTTGATGATTTTTTCAATTAAATTCAATTAATTGAATTCATTATGTGCTATTTGAAATAAAAATGAAATTTGAAAAATTTCAAAGCGAAAAATAATTACTTCCCAAATCAAATTTTTAACAAATTAAATTTGATTTTTTAAAAATTGAAATTTATCAACAAATATTTTTTAATAACGAAAAACTGGAATTTTCTACAAAAAAAAAAAATTAATCTAGTATTCAAAAAATTTTTTTTCGAAACTTTTCTTGGTAAAAAAAATTGATAGTTTTTAATTTTTCCCATTTGTGTAAAAAATGGTATCCTATATGGTTTGGGATTTTTAAATGCATTTTACTCGGAATGGGTGCAATTTAAAAATTTAAATAAATTATTTTCGGAAACTAGAGATCATTTGCCATATAAAACTATTAAAATTAACCGACATTTTATATTAAACAATGCCGGGCGGCATTATTATATTTTGCTTATACAAATTCTAATCTTGAATAACGAAAAAAAATATTTTATAAGAAAATTGCATAAAAAGAAAAAAACTAAGATTTTTACCCTTACAATTAAATTATTGGTTGTCCTAAATATTATTTAATTTAATTAAATTTGTAAATAAGATTTTCAGCAAAATGATACTTATATACCTATAACATTATTGTTGAAATTAAATTACATATGTCTGACAGAAAACCAGGTGGTCCAAGTACGTTAATTACATTGTTTCTCATTTTACACCAATAAATTGTAATCGGACTATGTTTTAGATTTAATCTCGGATTTTTTCATACATGCAAACGCTACCTAAGAATGTCTGAAAATCATCATTTTGTAATTTTTAAGAAATATAATACTTAAGGATGTTGCTAGCGTAAGTAATAAAATTAGATATCCCGGCAAGTGGCAACTTTATTAAACACATCCCTGCCCTGTTTGAGAAGTCAAATTAAATTTTTGAATGAGGATTTTTGTGTGAATTTGCAATCTGTGTTTTAAGTAATTTTTTTTTTCTATATCTATACATCTTTGGATGTGCATTAATTAATTGATTATATTTTGGAAAAGAAGTTGTAAAATCGAATTATAAATTATTTTACTGAAAAAGAGGATTTCGCAAAAATGGCTTCTCATCAATATCATCAAATTGCCAATTTGCTCGAAAAGGTTGGTATATACAATTTCTTGAAAGAAGAAGGAAAAAATAAGTTTGGTTAATTTTTTATTTAATTTTCGTATTTTAGATGACATCAACTGATAAAGATTTTCGGTTTATGGCAACCAACGATTTAATGACTGAATTACAAAAGGATAGTATAAAATTAGATGATGAAAGTGAAAAGAAGGTTGTTCGTATGGTTTTGCGGCTCCTTGAAGATAAGAATGGCGAAGTACAAAATCTTGCTGTTAAGTGTCTGGGTCCCCTTGTGAATAAGGTTAAAGAAGTTCAAGTTGAAACAATTGTAGATTCTTTGTGTGGTAATATGACCTCAAATAGTGAACAATTAAGAGATATATCAAGCATTGGATTGAAGACAGTTATATCGGAATTACCACAGTCATCGAATTCATTAGCTCCAAATGTTTGTCAGAGAATTACTGGAAAATTAAGCAGCGCCATAGAAAAAGTGAGATTCTCTAATAATTTCAATCATCAATTACGTACATATATATATATTATTTTCTACAATTTTAGGAAGATGTTTCTGTAAAACTGGAAGCGTTGGATATTTTATCAGATCTATTGTCACGTTTTGGTGATTTCTTAACACCGTTTCATGATGTGATATTAAAAGCACTTGTTCCGCAATTAGGCTCAAGTCGACAAGCCGTGAGGAAGAGAACAATCGTTGCGTTATCACATTTATTAGTATTATGCAATAATGATGCCTATAATAAAGTTATCGATCATTTAGTTGAAGGTTTGGAAAAACCTCAAAATCCTGCAGCAATTCGTACGTATATACAATGTTTGGCCTCAATTTGCAGATATGCGGGCCATAGATTGTGTAACCATATTGGTCGAATAATGGTCATTTTGCAAGAATATAGTAGATGTGAGGATGATGAATTAAGGGAGTTTTGTTTACAAGCTTGTGAGGCGTTTGTTTACCGATGCCCAGATCCTATTTTGCCCCACATACCAATGGTAATAAAGAATTAATACAATAAGTATTTGTTTACAAAAATTGAATTTAATTTTTATTAAAGATAATTGAATTATGTGTGAAATATTTGGTATACGATCCAAATTATAATTACGAAGCAGATGATGGAGAAGTTAGTGTGTCGATGGATACTGAAGATGATGAATATGTGGACAGCGAGGAATATAGCGATGATGATGATTTAAGTTGGAAAGTAAGAAGAGCAGCAGCCAAGTGTATCGAAGCAGTTATTATTACACGACATGAATTGGTCGAAGATTTTTATAGAACATTGTCCCCAACTTTAATTTCCCGATTTAAAGGTTATTCAAAATATATATTTTACTAAAAATTTTTTCGTAATGATAAATTAATTTCAGAAAGGGAAGAAAATGTGAAATCTGATATTTTCCATGCATACATTGCTCTTTTAAAAGCAACACGACCGATTGATAATGTAATGCAAAATGCTGACTCAATGGATCAAGTGTCCGGTTCAATATGCTTATTACAAGATCAAGTTCCTGCAATTGTTAAAGCTATAACACCCTTAATGAGAGAAAAGTCTGTTAAAACGCGTCAGGATTGCTTTTTATTGTTACGTGAACTTTTACAAGCATATCCCGGTGCGCTTGCAAACCACTTAGATTGTATTGTTGGTGGTATACATTATTCATTGAGTGATAAAAATTCCACATCTAATATGAAGATAGATGCATTGGCTTTTATATCTAGTTTATTACAAGGACATAATCCACAAGTTTTCCATAAACATATTTCTGTACTTGTACCATTGGTTGTCGCAGCGGTTTTCGATGCATTTTATAAAATAGCTACAGAAGCTTTATCTGTATTGCAGCAGTTGGTGAAAGTAATACGACCATTAGATAACGAAACAAACTTCGAAGCAACGCAATATATTGAACAATTATACCAGGCAACATTTAAAAAATTAAAATCTTCTGAAGTTGATCAAGAAGTGAAAGAACGTGCAATTGCTTGTATGGGACAAATTGTTGCTAATTTAGGTGATTTTCTTAAAAGTGAATTGAATACCTGTTTGCCATTATTTATGGAACGTTTGCGTAACGAAGTGACTCGTCTAAGCTCTGTTAGAGCTTTGACAATGATAGCTGCATCACCACTCAAAATTGATATTTCACCAATTCTGAATGAACTTATACCGGCCTTAGGTTCATTTTTAAGGAAAAATCAGCGTGCTCTTAAACTGAATTCATTGGCTTTGTTAAACAAATTAGTAAATAATTACAGTCATGCATTTCCACCTGAACTACTACAAACTGCTGTTATAGAAATACAGCCCTTAATATCAGATTCTGACTTACATATTGCCCAGTTATCTTTAGTTTTGTTAACGTCAACAGCTCAAAGACAACCTCAAGCATTAGTTGGAATTTACGATCAGTTTACTCCAAATGTTCTTGCATTGGTGCGTTCTCCTTTGCTACAAGGAACAGCGTTGAGTTGCACTCTAGATCTATTCCAAGTAAGTAATGGACAATACAAGTCGCAAAAATTAAATGTAACATATTCTAAATTTTAGGCTTTAGTGCAAGCTGAAATACCGGGGTTGGGATATTCTACATTACTGGAAATGCTTACAGAACCAGTTTTACAAGGAGGAGATCAGCTGCACAAACAAGCTTATCATTCTTTAGCAAAATGTGTGGCAGCGTTGACTCAAAAATCATCATTAGAATCTATACCATTAGCTTCTAAGCTTCTAGTAGATATAACAAAATCCCGCAATGATTCTCATTTAGTATTTTGTTTGTTGACTATTGGAGAAATCGGTCGTTATTGTGATTTGAGTTCTATTGATCTTTTACCACAAACAATTATCGAATGCTTTGGAGCTTCATCTGAAGATGTAAAAAGCGCTGCGAGCCATGCTTTGGGTGCAGTAGCTGTTGGCAATCTCCAAACATATTTGCCATTGATTTTATATGAAATTGAAGTACAGCCTCGAAGGCAATATCTTTTATTGCATTCACTCAAGGAGGTTATTTCATCGTTATCAGCTACACCGAAGGGAGTTGAGCAATTAATACCATCTGTACCATCAATATGGGATAAATTATTTAAACACTGTGAATGCTCAGAAGAAGGATCACGCAATGTTGTTGCAGAATGTCTTGGAAAATTAGTTTTAGTGAATCCAGAAAAATTATTGCCTTGTTTACAACAATCACTTCGAACTGGAAGTCCTCAAATGAGGACAGCAGTTGTAACTGCTGTTAAATTTACAATTTCTGATCAACCACAGCCTATAGATATTTTATTAAAACAATGTATTGGAGAATTTTTATTTTCTTTACGCGATCCAGAACCTTCTGTAAGGCGGGTCGCTTTGGTTGCATTTAACTCAGCTGTTCATAATAAACCAAGTCTTGTCAGAGACTTACTTCCAACATTGTTACCATGGTTGTATGACGAAACAAAAGTCAAAGTATAATAGTTAATGTATTTTATTAAATTGTGTATATTCTAATTTTTGTTTTTTTTTTTGTTTTTTTTTTTTTAAATAGGACGAGTTAATACGGGAAGTCGAAATGGGTCCATTTAAACATACAGTTGATGATGGTTTGGATATCCGTAAAGCTGCATTTGAATGTATGTATACATTATTAGAGCAAGGATTAGATAGAGTAGATGTGATGCAATTTTTGGATCATGTTCAAGCTGGTCTTCGTGATCATTATGACATTAAAATGTTAACATATTTAATGACAGCTCGTTTAGCTGTACTATGTCCTGAAGCTGTTCTTTTAAGTAAATTTTAAATAGATATTTTAGTAAAAATAAAATATATTTTAATATTTTAAATTTTTAAGGATTGGATCAATTCGTATTGCAATTACGAACAACATGTACGCATAAAGTTAAAGCAAATTCTGTGAAACAAGAATATGAAAAACAAGATGAATTAAAGAGATCAGCCTTAAGAGCTGTTGTTGCATTAGCATCTATACCTAAAGCAGGTGGGTGTATTTCTTTTTTATATTTATTTTTAAATAATTTCAAGACAATAATTTTATTTCAGATAAAAATCAACAATTATCAGAGTTTTTAAAATTAATTAAAGAAACACAGGAGCTCAATAAAATATTCGAATTAATACAAAAGGATTCAATATCAAATAGTAACTCAGAAACGATTTCAATGGATCAAAGTTAAATGATCAAAAAAAAAATTACAAATTACAAAACAAAAAAAAGCTCTTTTAATTTTACTTGGGCAAAAATTATATTTAATAAAGCTAATTAATAAAAAAGTTTCTCATTGATTTTCTTTCATATAAAAATTAGTTTTTTTTTTTCATTCATAACATTAATTAAAAAAAATGTAATAAAGAAAAACATGGAAAACGAATTAAATAAAAGTAATATATATTATGTAAAAAAAAAATTGCAAAGTTTTCAATTTTATTTTTCAAAAAGCGTTACCTAAAAAACCTAATAATTGTAATAATATATTTTTCATAGTCGTCTCATAATGCAGTATGCGCTTTTTTTTTTATAACTAAGCTAAAAATAATTTAGAAATTAATTTCTAATTCAAAATTAATTCTACCAAATTATACTCTTATATCTTTAAATATCTTTGAATTAATGAGGCAATGTAATATTTTTCTTGTTTCAGATTACCCAATTTTAAAAGAAAATAAATTGATTTTATTTTATCCAAATCAATAACCTAGTTTAATGATTGTATACTTTTCTTTTTTATGATATTTTATATCATCTTTGTAATTTTTTTTAACAATTACATTATCAAAAAATTAGAGAATTTCAAATTTTTAGCTGGAAACCTTACACTTTGAATAATACAGCAGAATCTTAATTGATGCTTTTAATAGAATGTGGACGAATATCAAAAAAATTGTTAATTAAAGAACCATAAGAATAAAAACAATTTCCAAAGAAATAATAATGCGATGTTCCAAAAGAGAAATTTTATTTATTCGTGAATTGAGTTCATAGATATTTCAATATATTATGTATACTAGAATGCATTTTTTTATTAAATTGATATTCTAAAAATTCGCATTTTCTTATTTAATTTTAATACTAAGTTGTATTTTAGAAATTTTTAAAAACAATTTTAAACTTACAATAATATTAAATGAATTTTAAAATTTTAAATGAAAATTTAGTTTTAATGTAAAAATGTAGGCTTTCATAGAGAAAAACTTAATAAAATAATGAAGAAAATGAAAATATATAATGATATAAAAAACATTTAATTCTCTTTAGGAATATGTCTGTGTCTTTAAAAATAATATTTAAAATTTAAATGTTAATTTTAAATCCTAAAAAGTTTTCATAATGAATGGTAAGATTAAATGAAGATCTCTCAAATATTTTCACCCACTATGAAAAGCATCCAAATTTTTGATAATAAAAATTAAAAATTTAAAAGAAAAGAATAAAAAAACGAAAATTAAACAAAATTAATTTATTAATAAATTTTACTAAATTTAAAAATAAAAGTTCTATTTTTATGAAAGTTGATTAACATGATGATAACAGAAAGAAAAATCTTGTTCTTAGCATGATTCTAAAGTGAAATTCAATTTTTATTTTAATTCTTTGTCTTTTATATTTTTTTCCTTAATTTTATTTTCTTAAATATGAATTAAAATTAAATCGTATATGTATATACATTTATAATAATATATGTAAATATAAGGTATAATAAATGTAGAAAAATACATACTAGTTTTCTACTTAGAATAAATTTTATTATTCACTTCTGTTTTTAAAATAATAATAAAATTAACAAGTTCTTACTATACTATCTATATATTTTATCCATTATATCCATTATTTATATAGTATAATTATGTAAATAAATAAATAATATAATTGTATATGCAATGCAATTTAAATAATTAATTAAATTTTAACTTTCTTTATGCTTTGGTTGTTTGCATAGAGAATAATATCAGAAGATGAATGGTGCCTACTTTAGAGATTTTGTGAAGGTCAATATTTTTTTTTTTTTTTTTTGTGATTTTCAGATATATTATGTACCATCTATGTATATCTATACGATTATATCAATATAATAATTATATATTATTGTACGTATAGGTATTTAGTGTAGTCGTAAAAGAAGAAAAGTCCGGTTTCACAAAAGTGAAATTGGTGAAATTTACATGTTTAGAACCTGATATCTTGGTTTTTTGTTTTTTTTTTTTTTTTTTTTGAAATGAAAAATCAATAAAAAATGAAGAAAATAAGCAAAAAAAAAAATTTTTGAAAAATATTTTTCATTTTATGCATATTTACGCATACACACAGTAGAATATTATAAAGAAAATATTTCTAGAACATTTAAAGATATGGTCAAGATTATGTGGGATATCTATAGATAAAATAATATTGTGTATGTTTTGATTATACACTATGTAGTTTTAAATGAACAAGTTGATGACATGGAAAAAAAAAAAATTGTTATAAATAATAAATTATTAATTTTTGATCTAGTTTTGCATATTATATTCGCAATTGCAACATTTAAATAAAGAAAGAAGAAGAAGAAGAAGCAGCAATAAAAAATGAAAATTGCATATCTAGAGTATTCATGCGTTTTATTTTTTTTTTTTTTGTTGCGTTAAAAATAGAACAAAAAACATTTTTTCCTCAAGTTTAAAAAAGGAAATTGTGTAAAAATTTTTATTATATAAAATATATTTTTTTTCATATTTTTTATTGCACTAAATAAATTCTTAATAAATATTTTTTTTTTTATCAAAATACCAGATGCCGTGGTATGACTAGATTTTGTACACACTATAATGTACGTATATAAATAAATATTAATTAACCGGTAAGAGTATAACAGATGAATATTGTGATAATCTTATTATTAATATTTTTATTTTATATCTTTGTTGTTTATGTATTTATGTATGTAGGTACATAATAATATCAGACGATTTAAATGTGTTTATTAATTTTAATTGAAGATTTTTATCAACATTTTTTTAATATTTTAATTGCAATTTTTATTATATGAATACGCAGTAAATTCATTTCTGTTATATTTTAAGGTTCTTGTAACATTTTCTTGAAATGTTGATATAAAAAAAAATTGTAGTACATTATGTCCGGAAATTGTTATAAAGAAAAATACTATTCAATAAATTACGGTAAACAAATTTCCGATTTCCGTTCATATAATATAAATACATACATACATTGATCGAAACAATTATAAATTTTAAAATTGTATTTTTAATGTTGAACTTGAATTACATGTCTATTTTAATAATAGGATTACATATTTTATATCCACATTAAGTTAATGTTGGGTGTGGGAGAAGATTAATATTATTTTAATGTAATTTTTTTTTTTGTGTCTTGTATTACTTTTGTATAGAGTATTTAAATGATTTTATTAAGATAATCATTAAAAATTAATTAACATTTAATTAAAATGTAATATTAAAATATTGTATAAATGTTTTAAGTAGCTATTACTTAATCAGATTTTTATGATAATGCAAATTCAACTTTTTATAATCACATATGTTTATAAATTCTACATGAAAATAATTTTAAAAACAAGGCTAACAAAGAAAATATCAGCAATTTTGCCTTGATCAATTTCTAATTTTGTATAACAATAAATTCTTCAGGTAATACTTGCCAACTAATTTACAATTAAGTAATTTAGTCAACATAATAGAATTCGTATACTAGTATTCAGGAGGATACTAAAAACAAGTGGATGATAGTAACAAAAATAGTTATAAACGAAATGGGTAGCAAAAATAATCATGCTGTTTATTAGTCTTAAATGATGTCAAACCTACAATTTTAATTATATTGTGGTTATATTGAATTTTATGTTCATCACCTACTTAAATAATTATGCTTAATCTTTTCTCCCAAATTTTTATAACAAAAGTTTTAAGTAAGAAACAAAAAAAACATACGTAAATTAAAGGCAATAGCTTGTAAAATACGAGTACTTAACACATTTCAACTCAACGCCTAAGAAAATAGAAAAAACCGTTCTCAAAAATCGAAATATAATAGAAAGAGTAGAGTAATTCTTGAAATGTGCAGTGATTCAAATTAGTGATTAAAAACATTTACTTAAAATAAAAATTAATTTAAAAAGCCGGTTTTATGTTTTACAAAATTTTCCATATTTTTGTACTTATTGGTGCAATACTCCTGTTATACCTAATATTCAAATCAGGTATAATAGAAGTATAAATAGTAGTACTTTTAATAAAACTTGAAAAATAATTCTGATTTTAGCACAAATATATTATTAAAAAATTATATTGTAAGGATTTTAATTGAGAAACAATAATTTATTATTATAGTGAAATTATTTTCTGTAAAGAGACCCAGGCGAAATGACGAACAGGTAATCGAGAGCCTACATTTATATTAATAATAAGAATTTTTTTTCAAATTATTCCTAATTGTGACTAAAAGAAGGAACGAAATAATGTGAAATAATATTCTATATATTCTAAGAACAGATTTATGTGTTTTTTTTAGCAGATCAAATATTTGATCAACAAAGAGGTTTTTTTTTCATACACCAACTGGATATGAAATCAAAAAAAGCCATATAAGTACCACAAACAATATGTTAAAACATAGAATAAGGAGAATCCTGCCAAATAAACAATAAAATAACGATACCGTCATAGTGGCTGCTATCTATTTGGTTTATTAAGGGTCTTCTTGAAAATTCTTTTATTTTCGACGAAAATTCTTAGTTAATACTTTAATTTGTACCTATGTAAGTTGTGGTAATTAATTTTAGATTCTTAAAATATTATATTCTTAAAATTATATTTGTTATATTCTAAAATATAACAAATATGTTAAAAATTTCAATTAATATTTTTTATTCTCTTAAATTTAATCAATTCATTAATTATTATTATAATGAAATAATTATATAATATTAAAAAAATTACAGAAGGAATAGCAAGATAAATAAATTAAGTAATTGAATTTAAATAGTAGAGCATTTATATTAAAACGGTTCATCATTATAATTAATTTTTTAATAAGTGTTATACAATTTTTTTTTTTTTAGTTTTCGTTTTCTTAAATTCTATTTTAATATTTAATATTAATAATAATTATATTTAAATAGTATACCATAAAAATTGCAATTCTTTTTTTTAACTATATCTTAAAATTTTTACATTTTCATAAATAAAAAACTTTTAAATGTATTGCGAATTGTGAAGCAGAAAAAATAAATGTTAAAAAATTCAAAAAAAAAAAATTTAAAGAATTATAAAAGAAAGAAGAATAAAAAATACAGCTATATAAAAATTCCCACCTGTAAAATTGCTTGAATAAAAAAAA